ATATATACACACACAAGTTAGACAACTCATTTGGGTTCAAATCCCAGTTTTACAACCTACCAGTTTTGATAAATTATGTAAAACTATAAGCTTTGTTTTGGTTTGTTTTTCATCTCAGTTGGAGTTAATACATTTATACTTTTTTAATTAAATAAAATAACATATTAAGAAAATGCTATGAAAAGGAAATATAGGTATAAATAATCATTAGTTGAATTTGAGTGTCTATCTCCATAATAGTTTGTAAGTTACCAAATCTTTTTTTCTTCAAAAAATTAACCCACATCATTTGGAAATGTGTTGATATGAATTAGCTAATGCACTGATGATAAAAGATAATGGAGTGCTACTCTTTTATTTTTTAAGTGTAAGTGGTATTTGCAATTAATTACTGCATTGAGGCACATCCAATACACTCTGGTACATATTTATGTTTTGTCTTTGATTAAATATGTCTTCAAGACAGGAACTGTCTATGAAATTATTCTAAGGGTGCTTGCTATGTACATAGCAGGCAGGCTGATCTTCTCAATTTCCCATGGAGCTCTCCCTATTGCTGATGTGCACCCACAAGTCCTGAAATTTATTTCTTCCTCCCTAGATTCATTCTTTTTTGTCCTTCCTAAAATAACTGTCACTGTTCACCTGATCCTTCCTATCTGGTCAGGATACTTCTCCATTTGGCATATTCCTTCCTTAAATATACTGCCCACAAGGATCTTTTCTGGTTTTCAACAATTATTCCACTTATGGATTATGCCCTATTGTTGAAAATTTAATTTTATTGTTTAATATAGTTTTCTGCCTATTTCATATGCATAGATTATGAAGAAAGTGGAGAGTCCCTGAACATAAGGACTGGGTTACTCATTCCTTTACTGTTTTCCAAAACTATCATCAGTCTGCAAAGATAAGTAGATACTTGCTATAACTCTACAGAGATGTTATGCTTTTTTTAGATACAGCAATGTCTAATCCCCACAGCTCCAAATACCCCTCTCAGTAAAGGAATGAAACTATTTTCATTAGACATCTCACTGAAGAATAAATGAAGGGTCTCTCATGATTTCATGAGTTCAACACCTCAAGAGTTACTGTGGAAAGCAGAGTCTCAAGGCCCCACGCTGAGATTAAGCTGCAAGTATACTGCCAGGATTGAAGGGTTTGTCTTGGTCTACCTTCAGGATAAAACAGTTTGTGGTTTGCAACTGATGTAAAACTTTTCTAATCTAGCTCCCAAATCTCTGAGACTTAATTCTATTCATAGACCATTTCTATAATGCTTTGCACATTGGTCAGGGGTTTTCAAAACAGAAAACAGGAATTATCTTCCTCCACTCCCCAGTGTGATGGCAGGAGACTTGATAAATAGGGACAAAGACTATGGGAGTTCAAGGACCTATTGTTGTCTGGGAATTAAGAATAATGTTAGAATAGACTTTGGACAAAATTGTCCAGCTGCTTAGAAAACAGTGCCTTTTAGGAGTTTTGAACTTCATGTCCTTACTCTTATTTTTTATTATACTCTTTCCCCCAACTTTCAGCTATTCCTGGCTCATCCAGGTCCAGGTCCACTCCACACCCAAAGAATTTTCATTCCAAACCCTCCTGCTCCTACTTGTCAATAAAATGCTAATATTCCATAGCCAAGTTGATACAAAAAAAAAAAAAAAAAACAGATCCATGACAAAAATAACAGTGGTTGGGAGGCCAACAGTAAAACACAGTGAGCTTTCTAACAGACTGGGTTTTGTCTCTCAACTCTAACTAGCTGAGTGATCTTGAGCAAGTTGCTGAACATATTAAAGTTTCAATTGATTCATAGGCCAATAGGCATAAGGAGCCTATTTCACGGGCTTGCCTTGAGGATTAAATAAAATGTGTTTACAGCATAGAGTGTAGAGTGTTTGCAGATATTAAATGTATCATTAGCATTATAAGCATCAACATGAATATTGTTCCCATATAAAATAGTAGCCTTTAAACAGAGCCCTTCCATGTTTTAGCTCAAGGAAGTGAATAATGATAAAAACACCATGCACTAAATCTCGGTTTTTGGTTTTGTTTTGTTTTCAGTAGAAAGGACATTGGGATTCCCCCAAATATTAATACATTAAGAATACAGGTACCTACACTACGAAATATGGAAAGAAACAGTTTTAATTATCAGTATTCTTTATTCTTTTTCAACCTCTTTCAATGTAGACTGACAAGGAAGAAGAGTTACCTAATGAGAATCTTAATTCTTTGCCTCTTATTGCTAAACAAAGGTACCAGCATGGTTCTGTCTTTGAAAGTTTAAATGAATTACTCTAGCTATCCTCACAAAACTCCTTTGCACTGTGAGCCATCTAGGTGTCAGCATCTTTACTTTTGTTTATTTGATTTTTGTTATTTTTAGAAGAAGAAGTAGAGATTTAACCTTTGAAATACTGATGCAACAAAGAGTGCACATGATTGATGTTTTAGTCTTAACTTTATCACAAACTGTAGTACTTTAGTCAAGTCAATTTCTATCAAGATATTCATTGCTCAAATATCCTCATTTTTCAAATGCTTGCCTTACAACTGCATAGAGCAGTTATAAGATTAAAATAAAATGTGAATTGAAATCATTTTGCAAAGGAAAATTTACTCTACAGTTTTGGGAATAATTATTTCAATCACAAACACCACAGCCAGAAGCCAAATTTGCACATCAACACTTCGTTATTGGAGACACTGGTACATGAGCTCTTTTTTACAAAGATTGTAATTTGTGTTTTCATGGCTTTTGCACATTCTGTGACTATCATATTTACAATACTTGCTTTTATCATCGAGGAAAAGTCTGTAAAATCTGCAAAATTGCTCAGCTTAATGTCCTTTTTGGGTATTTGTTTCAGTGACGTTTGTGATGCTTGTGATTCCCTTAATTGCTAATCTGAAAGGAACAGCTAATTATCTAGGCTGGGAGGGGTCCTGATGAATATCCATTTATGAAAGCCTAAGGATCACCTTTGACCATAGGGAAGCAGGGCCTGGGGGCACTGGAGAGCAAATATCAGCCAGGTTTGGACTCATCAAGAACAGTTTTTCTAGAGAGAATACAGTTAACTTTGGCCTGAAAAAGTTTCCCAAATGTTCTGAAATTCACTAGCTTTTTCAGAGTCACTTATAGCTCTCCTGAGTGGAACCCAATCAGAGGTTTTTGTTCTCCAGGAATTCTTAGACTTGTAACAAAAGTGGTCATGTGGTCATCAATGGTACACTTCTTAGGATGCTCTCTCATACTACCTCCTAGAAGCCCTAAGAAAAGTAAAGCTGTTCCATTCTTCAGAGGAGTATCTGAAACCTTCATCTACTAAGCCTATATCTCTCTTTTTCCTTTCTGCCAAATATCTGAGAATAGATTCATATTTAACTGATAAGATAAACGTGAATTCTTAACCCATAGAAATGTAACCAAATCATAACTAAACATTTCATTGGAGAAAGGGAAATAGCAAAGCAATATAGCAGAACAGGTGCAGAGGAGACAAATATTGTAGCTCCTAAAGTAATAGTTAGCTGCCACTTTAAGATGCTAAGACTCTCAAGTAAAATATACAAAACTGTCACCACAAAAATGCATTGCACTAAATCATAGGAATATGTTTCCTTGTTAAGCATAAATTTATAAACATTGGCTCTATATGAGATATTTTCACTTTAAGAAAACTTAAAATACATTAGACATGAAAATTCAAATTTATAAAACACTTAAAATAGGAGAAAACGATTTGCTTTAGAGAAGATTCATACCTTAGCAAAAGGTTTTACTAGCAGACCCAGAAGCTTAAAAATAAATCATTAACTGGAATAACATGAACTATTAATATTAAAAAACAGCTCAGCTTTAAGGTCAGCACAAATAAAGATGAAGCATCTCAAATTATAACTAAACAATTCAATTTAGAGAATTCGATTTATAAAAATTTGATTTGCATGCAACTTCTTGGTGATATTACTTTGTGCAAAGTGAGTCAGGGCAATGGAATTGTGAGATGATTTCCATGGTCCCTGAACTAGGACAGCTGATGTAGCATTACCATGTGGAGATCTCAGGGAAAAAGCCATCACAGTTTGCCTATCAGGTGCTGCCCAAGAAGTAGTGTCTGAACACATAAGAATAAAATATAATGAACTATGTGAATTCTGGTAGTGAGTTGCAATCTAAGCTAGACATAGTTTTTTTTTTGCCTTAATCAATTTTGTTTGTTTACAGGAGTTGTAAAATTCTCTATGCATCACAGTGATATAGCAGGGGCAGATTGGAGGAGATTGATGGTATATAAGAATAATTTCTGATTCAATCTGAGTAGCGGCTTGTTCTAGTTCTGGAAGGAGAGAAGGATCCTACTTTGATTATCTGCTGTTGCATTAAAGATTACTCCAAAACATGGTGACTTAAACAATTTCATTTTATTTGCCATTAATTATATAGGTCAGAAATCCAGACAAGACTCAACTGAGAGATGTTTCTGTTGCATTTGGCCTGGCTTGGTTATCTTATGAAGTCACAGGTGATGGTGGCTAGTGTTAGAACATGCAAAAGATAGTGTCTTGGCAAGGACAACTACAAGCTTGGGTCTCACTTTGCCAACGTGACTCACTCCATATGGTTAGTGTGGGCTTCTTTACTGGAATCCATGAGTGAACAGTTCAATTGCAAAGACGGAAGCTACAGAACTCTTAAGACCCAGCCTCAGAAGTTATACAGAATCACTTCTACTACATTCCTATGTGCCCAGATCCTAGGGCATGGAGGAGTGGTAAGGACACTGCAAAATAGCATGTGGGATGAGAAAGATTTTGGTAGCCAACATGATCCACCACAAGATCACAGTGATTTCTTAGAAAAAAACATGTACATCATTTCTTTCTCATAATTCTCAATGTGAACCTTGGAAAGCAGCCATATTTTGTACCATGTGTCCTCAGGGAAAAGACAGAAGCCAACAGATAAAATTGGCACTCACCTGACGGAACTGTTCCAGGTCAATTTTGTTACCCACCAACACCAGAGGAATTTCATAGGTGTGGCGGACCTGAAAAATGAGCTCTTTAAATTTGGCAGCCTCTTGAAATGATTGGCGGTCAGTGACGGAGTAGCAGATGATGAAGCCCTCCCCACCTCGCATGTACTGCTCCCGCATGGCTGTGAATTCTGCCTGCAGGAAAAAAACAAAATTCTTCATGGGATTTGGATATAGAGAGTCAATGTGAGATCTAGCTATATCATTATGAAATTTGAATGTTTTAAGCCATTATGAATGTTGCTATTTAATCATAGAAGATTTGATTTACAAGATCTTAAGAGAATATGTTATATAGCAAATTTTACTCATGGATTCTTAGGATTTATATATAGATGATGTATTTTTGACATTTTTAGTGACCTAATTTTAGGAAAATAAATCCAAAATTGTATACTCCAAATATTAAATTTATTTGAACCTAAGATTTTCTTTTCATTACATAGTTTAGATGTTTTTTTCATTCCATACCCCTTGGAATAAGTTTTTTTTTTTTTTTTTTCTAGAAACTGCTAAAGAAAAAATGTATGATCTAAAGAAGTTGACTTCATTTTACAAAAGAGAGTAGGTTTATGTAGAGAATCCACCAGGTCCTCCAAGGGACCTGGGAAACAAACTAATTTTCTGCTCAAAAATAAGAAAACAAACTAGAGTTAGACCTTAGTTATCCTTGTGAATGGAGGAAGTTGTTAGCATAGATAATTACAGATCCAGTTATAAGTTTGGGTGTTAGATTTATCTCACAGAGAAGTATAAACAAAAGGCCTGGATTGCTGGGTGAAGGGTCAATTTCTACATTCTATTGGTTCTTTCATCTCCTTCTCTCCTTTCAGAGGAGGGCAGCATTACATTTTAGATGGTACCAATGCTCCAACCTGGGAGATGAGACTTTGCTGTATTAGCCTTTCATGTTGCATCCCACCTGCCCTACAACTCCTTGGTGACTGAAAATTCAATATTTTGGTCTGAATTTCAATCTGAAAAGTTACTTTAAGTCTAAAATATCCATATTCATTTACTCTTATTTTGAATCTACTGTTTAAATGATAAGGGCTAACTAGAAACAAGCAATAGAAAATATAAAATATAACTCTGGCTGTGGAACATGCCATATTAAACAATAAAAGCACAAAAGGACATATGTAACTTGGACAATTTGTGCTGTAAGTAATCAAATAAAAGAAACTTTAGGTGGGCTTCAGCTATATTTGAATAATTGGAGAAGATGTGACTTCATGTAGCACAATGTTTACAAGAATTCATAAGATACACTGCTCAAAGTAACTGTCTAAAGAAATGTTGATTTGGTTTAACCTATCTCGAAAGATGGGAGCATTTACATAGATCCAGAAACTTGGGCAGACTTAGGTGCTTACAAGTCCAGAGAGAGTGATAAATTTAATAAGGTCCTGAGTTAGTTGGTGAATCTCTTAAATAATTTTCAAAAATACAAAATAAATGCAAACAGTATCATTGAGTTCAACCAATCATTTCAAAGTTGCAATAACTGGATCCCAGAGAGGAGAGGAGATTTGTCCAGGGACAGACAGTCATCAAATATAATTCAAAAAAATCACATTACTTGATTCTCACCATATCAATTTATTTAGCATTAAATTTTACTTTAACTCAATCCTAAATTTTTCCATGGAAGTGAAATATGGGAGAACAAAAATTTCTACTGGACCTCAGCTTCATCCCCAAATAAAAATTGGATTATAAAATATCTGATGTCTCTCATAGTTCTGACATTCTTTGATTTTGAAATCTTGCATTTCAATCAGAACTCCATAGTTCATAAGGCTCAACTAGAAAAGTTGAGCCTTTCCCAATATGGACTGAAAATGCTAACTGATGTTTTCAAAACTTATAATTATATTTGTCAAATATTTAATAGAAATGACAGAATTATCTTAGGAATACATTTGATCTTGAGGAAAATATAGATTTGGTAAATCAATTGTATATGATTAAATAATGAAAATGCAAACTAAACTAGAAAAGATATATTTTACAATTTAAAGTTTCACTCTAATTTCCAAGTATTATTTTAAGCTTAAAATTATTTATTTTTACCTAGTGCTTTTGAAAATCAACAAATACACATAGAAAAATACTCTAATCGAATAGAAGTATATAGTATAGACTATGAATAGAAGTATATTCAGTTTCCTTTTTACCTTAAACTTCCAAATTTCTTTCTCAAATGCATACAGTTAATAGTTTCTTTATCCTTAGAGAAATGTCTATGTATATACAAGCATATAAATATTCATTCCACCTTTATACATCTTTCCATACTCAAATGGGAACACAATATATACAATTTTCATTTTAATTTTAATTAAAATTTAATAGCCCTAATATACATTGGAGACTATCCCATATTAGCACATATAAAAATATTGTTTATTCTTTTTCATAGAGGCATCATAATTCCTTTTATGCATGTGTCATAATTTATTTAACTATTTGTGTATGGACAGGTATTTAGATGAGTTCTTTTTATTACTATTACAAATAATACTACGATATATATTCTTAAGCATCCATATTGCACAGAATTACATATACCTGAGAAGTATTTTTAGATCAAAAAGAATATATTTTTACCTTTAAGAAGTAGTACCAATCTCACTGCCAAAGACATAGTATCAATAATATTTTTTCTCCAACATTTTATAAAATTGACTATTTCCTCTCATTCTCAACAATGCCGCTTATCATCAACTTTTTCTACTTTTAGAAATTTTGGGATTATAAAATCATGCTTATTTTATTTGTATTTATCATTTATGAGTTATATTTGGCATTTCCTGTGTTTTTATCTATTTTTATATTTTCTTCTACTTACAGATTTTATTTTGTTGTAAGTAATGTAGTTTTTTTTATTTCAGAATATTATTGGGGTACAAACGTTTTGGTTAAATTGCTTTTGTACCATTTGATTAATAAGTGTGCCCATCCTTGAGATAGTGTGCATTGTATCCATTAGGTGTAATTTACTCATCCCTCCTCCCTTCTCCCACCTGCTTGATTTCTGATGAATGTTATTTCCATCTGTGCACGTAAGTGTTGATTGATTAGTTCTAAATTAATGGTGAGTACATGTGTTTGTTTTTCCATTCTTGTGATACTTCACTTAGAAGACTGGTCTCAAGCTCCATTCAGCTTAATACAAGAGGTGTTAGTTCACTACTTTTTTATGGCTGAGTAGTACTCCATGGTATACATATATGACTTTTTTTCTTGAAGGAGGACGAGGAAGTTGTTTCTTTTTATTTTCAATTCGAGATTATTTTTTAATTTGAACTGGAACAAGATCTCTTTATGTGAGACATGAGAAAAAGAGCAAAACACTTGATGACTTCAACATTACTATACCATAAAAAAGAAAAGACTAACATTTGAAAAGTCTAACACCTATTAGGAAGACAGGAGAAATACTGAAAAGCAAAATTCAAGAGAATAATGTTGGATGGCTGAATGAATAAAGGTCCAATAGTGCTCGCTAACCAGACTCAAAGTCACATGCAAATCATATTACAAATAGATATGTCAAGGCATCACATCTGATGTGAATTAGAATCTCCAGGTATGAGATTCCAGCATTTGTATGTTTAAAGATCTCCTTGCATGATTTTGCTTTGCACTGGTATGTAGGGGCATGTGACTGTGTTTATGCTCAAAAGTGGTCTTTAAGACATGGAAAAGAAAAAGGGAGTCACAGACATGACCTCTAGGCCTGTGACTCAGTTAGAATATGCCTTTTAACAAATCACCTGACCTCTCAGAGCCTCAATTTCCTCCTTTATTAAAGAGCGATTAGGACACACATTTAACCTGGCTTACAGGGATAAGAAAGGATCAAAATGAGAGAAGAGACGTGAAAAGGCTTTGATGAATTTTTAAAATACAATACAAATTAAGCCTATTATTATCTCTGGTACAAATCCAGCAGAATAGAAGCTTTCTCTGAGAGAGCAGGAATGAAATCCTCTTTTAGCTGCATTAAATATAAATGTGGCAGTATTTTTCATATATGCTTAATCAGAAAATTATTAAGCATTTTTTTCAAATAGGAAAATCTTTCCTCCAACAAAACAGATATAATGAAGATATCACAATTAATGAGGAGTATATTTTCTCTTAGATAATCTTTTCCAACACAAAACACGTGTGTGTGTGTGTGTGTGTGTGTGTGTGTGTGTGTGTGTGTGTGTGTGTGTGTGTGTGTGTGTTTTACTTAAAGGTGCACTGTAGGTGATGGGGCCCAGAGAATTGAGCAAAACCTCTGCACTATGTATCAACTTAATAATATATGATACAGAAATTGCTTTAAAAGGAAAAATGCTATGTTCAACATGTTGCTTCTGTCTTCATTCACTTATGAATTAAAGATTCCTGTGCTTTCAGTTCTGTGTATCCTGAATGTTAATATTGTCTTCATTTGCTTCCTGTTATAACTGAAACTTGTTGGTTAATTATTCAGGACCGTTACTGGATTCCATTTGCTATCTATAAGTAGGAAAATATCTATGAAACATATCCTCTACATAAAATGCTACAAATATTAGCATTTCTAATATCTTCAAAGCTATTTTGAGTACAACTTTGCTGTTTGATCAGTTCCCTTTGATATACTTCTTTGTATTAAAATAGTGTGAGAATTTTCTCAATTCTGAAAATGAGTAAAGGATTTTTGATGATTCTCATATTGCAGCTTCTTGATTAGCAGATTAAGTATTTTGAGCAGGTGTTAGCAAACATACGGACTGGACCAGCTCACCCACTGATTCATTCAAATAGTGTTACTACAAGATATAAGTGCCTCACTATTTACAAAATGCACTAGCACTATACCCAGACCAGCTTTTTAACTGCCCTTTAGTACAACACGCACATAGCCATTGTCTATACTGGCCGGAATGTCTTTTAGCATCCCAGTGATAACCACGCCTCCATATCAAATATATTCTCCTAGGGCAAAATGTAAATCAAAAAGTAAGCCAGTCACTACATCTAACACCATGCCAAGTGGTAGAATATACAAGAAATAAAAACAGTCTGGTCTTGACCAGGTTGGAAAAACACAGCTAGGCCAGGATAAAACAAATGAATAGCAATGAAATGTT